GTGAAATAGAACATAACTTTTTACAAAATTTTATTATGTAATTTTCATAAAAATAAGTTATCAATCAAATTTCATCTTCCTTTTCTGTCGTTGTTACATTTGAATCAGATAAAATTCCCTTGGTTATTACTACTCTTATTACTATGCCCAATCTCAGAAAAAAGTAAAAATAACTAAATTGCTAGAAACTTTTACAACTTTAATACCATTTTAGCATATCACAATAAAATATATCACTTCAAAACAATATGTGATAATTGATGTAATCTTGCCTTTAATTAGGTGATTGAGAAAATTTATGAGTTTCTTTTTTTGTTATAGAAGATTAATTTACTTTTTTTTTAATAAAGCCACCACTATTTATCCATCAACTGATGTGCTTAATGTGTTATTTTCATTTCCACTTTTTGGGACTCAAGCTCTTTCCCATTTCAAAAAATGTAAACCCTACATGTGAAATATTTTGTAAGTAAATTAGAATTTTTAAGGTTTTAAACTCAATTCAGTTTTAATATATAGCAACTCTAGTCAAAAGCAAGGATTTTGATTTAACAATCAGTCTCTTCTATAACATTATAAAAGATATATTTTTGTTCTTCATCACTTTCTTCTTAGGTGGATCTCTCTTATAGAGCAAACATTCTAGCCTTCATGCACACTGTTTAAAGAGAAAAATCATGTTATTATTAAACAAAACAAAACAAAACCATAAGTATCAAAAGCTTTTAGTTTCATATAGTGATAATTAATGAACGATAATACGAGGCATGTGAAAGTTTTTCTTTCAAATTCTGTCTATTTTTCTCATGGCAAATTCTAGGCAAGTGCGGGGCACGGTTTTACGGTCAACAAGTTGTTGTCCAAGACTTGGTCGCCAGGGATGAAGTTGCTACTGGAGAAGAGAAGGATGTGATTTCTTTTGAAATTGATCCTGCTTAAGTAGCTATTCTAAGTCGGTCTGGCTCACACAGGAACTTTTCAGGTAGAACATGTGAAGCAGAGGTGCCTGCCAAGTGCTTTAAACTATCTGATGCTTGAGGAATATGACTTAAGAAACGCATGAGATTTGTTACCTGATTTTAGGTCAATCCTGACTTAAGCATTGAATTGAAACCTCGACCTTATAGCTTGAGCAAAGTGTTTGAAAATGGTGTATAGCAACCATGTTTTGCAATTTTTTTAGTACTGACCTGTAGTGTGAGGTCTGGAATTATCGTATTACCTTGTGGAGCTGGTAAATCCTTAGTGGGAGTCTCAGCCGCCTGCCGCATTCGCAAAAGCTGCCTTTGCTTAGCCACCAATACAGTGTCGGTCGACCAGTGGGCCTTTCAGTTTAAACTCTGGTCTACTATCCATGACGATCAGATTTCTCGTTTCACGTCAGACAGTAACGACAAGTTCAAAGCAAACGTTAGTCTCGTTGTGACCACCTACAACATGGTTGCTTTCAAAAGATCAGAAGAATCCGAAAATTGAATTGATAAAAGGCCACGAGTGGGGCTTACTTCTTATGGATGATGTGATACAACTCTCTTCAAAGTTGTACCACTGACCGTCTTTTTTTCCTTGTAGGTGCATGTGGTGCCTGCTCATATGTTTCGTAAAGTTATTAGTATCACCAAGTCTCACTGCAAACTTGGACTCACTGGTAAGCAGCTATTAAATATACGGTTGGGACTTACACCTTGTGAATTTCTTGCAGCCACGCTGGTATTCTGCGTAAAATTCTTTAGTCATTGGCCACCAGATCTCAGCACATTGAACATTAGCAATGTAGCCGCATTTCACAACATCCAGCCAGTTCGCCTCGTACAACTTTGGACCAACTAGAAAATTCAGATCGGTAATACGTTCGTCTTCTCTGACATGAAGAAGGAGAACAGAAAGCAACAGGTACTTATTCATTTCCGTTTTATTTACCACCGCTTGACGTTCCTGTGCAGGCATTATACATAATGAACCCCAATAAATTTCGGGCTTGTGAGTTTCTCATCGTTTTCACGAACAACAGCGAGACAAGATTATTGTCTTCTCTGATAATCTTTTCTCCCTGAGAGAATATGCCACAAAATTGAAAAAGCCTTTTATTTACGGTCCAACCGCACATTTGGCGTTGAAACTTTGTTTGTTGCAGCCACCATGAAAGAACAAAGATATTGTACGCTTTTAAACACAGTCCCGATGTCAACACAGTTTTCATGTCAAAGGTATTTGTGGCTTTCACTACTTTTCTTGCTTCTCTCAGGTCGGTGACAATTCCATTGAGGCAAATGGCTGGTTCCCGGCGTCAAGAAGCACAACGACTCGGTCGAATATTGAGAGCAATCGATAGCTGACATGGCATGGGTCATGAGTCATGTCCCTAAAAAGAGTCAAACACAATGAACTAGTGTTGTGTCCACGCCCTTTTTACATTACGACAGTGTTTTTATGGACATTAGTTAGAGATCCTCTGATTTGCAGGGAAACCCAAAGATCGTGTGGTACCAAGGAATTCAATGCGCTGGGAATCTGTATGTGTGCTGGGAATGGGAATGTGTGCCAAGAAGCTCTTCGTGAAGGTATGCAATGCTACACCCAAGGACGGGGAGGGATCCGCGAGCCCCTACTGCATGGCCAGCGCCGGCGAACAGAGCCCAAGAGCAAGGATCTCAAGCCCACCTGGAACGAATTCGCACAGGGCCCGATCGACGACAAGTGAGCGACAAGAAGACCGGCGGCAAGCAGCGCCCCCAGTTCCTGGGGCGAGTGAGGACCCGCCGCCAAGAAAGGTGAGGAATACATCGTCTACTATTTCTTGGCGAAGAGGAGCTTCTTCTCTCATGTCAAAGGAAGCTCCTCCTCCCAGCGATGGCGATGGCGCGAAGAAAGTGATGCCAAGAGCGAAGAGGGCGAAAAGAAACCGGAAGAAACAGCCGCTGCCGCGAGATGGCGATGGAGGATGTGGAGGAAGGAAAGAAGCGGACGGAGAAGAAAGAGGATGGCGGCGGTGGCGGCGGTGGCGGCGATGGACCCACCAAAGAAAGAAGTGGAAGAAGAAGCTAGCGGCGGCGGCGCCACCACCACCACTGTGGAAGGAAAGGAGAAGCATGGCAAAGGCGACCGTGGCGATGGAGGAAAATCGCCGGAGTTTGTCCGGCCACCGCCGTACAATGACCACCACGTCCCCTTCGATCTGGATGTTTCGCGTTTGGCAAAGAGTGGATGCTGCGATCCGGATTCCAGCTTCCTGGGCAGCGTCGTCTTGGAGTTTGCCGAGATCCCAGTGCGCGTCCCACTGGATAGCCCGCTAGAGCCGCAGTGGAACCGCCTGGAGCGAAAGAGCCACCATAGCCAAGAACAGTCCGAGGTGACCTGAGCTCGGACTGTCACGGCCTCGATCACATTCACGAGGAGGTACCACAGCTTGGGCGAAAGGTGATTGCCACGCCTCGGTGCATTATATCCGGAGACAGCTGGTAAAGGTAATGGGCGGCGCCTACGGCTACTTCACATCTTTATAACCGTATTTGATCAAGTAGATGTAGATTTTCCATACCTTGCTAGCGTCCTGTGGGAAGGCGCTGCCTCCATCCGAGGTAACTCGCTCACGTAATCTGAAAAAGACCATATTGCATCCAAAAACATAGACAAATGTGCACATACCTTCTAACGGATGCTTGTCCTCCCAAACGTCTCGAGATGTTTGGCCTTCCAGTGTCACATACTCGACCATTTGATTGAGAGAAATCACAGCTTTTATCTCTGCGCACACACGACATACAAAGAGAAGAGAGAGAGAGAGAGAGAGAGAGAGAGAGAGAGAGAGAGAGAGAGTCAGTCGTCTTACCGGAATAATCCGATGAATGAGGATCAAGGAGCTCGACCAAACTCTTCGTTGTAGCTTTCAGATAGCGAGGCTTCCGTCCTGAAAAACCACAGAACCAAATATAAAACATCTAGAAAGAGGAAAGGAAGTGTGATTAATTTACCAACTGCATAGCCCAATTTCTCCTCTAACTTGGCTCTTTTGGATTCCTCAGCTGCTGCTCTTGTTGTGGTAATCTTGTTGTTGCCCTTCCGTCCCAACTTGCCAAGCTTGGGATTCATCACAATTCCTTGCAAGCTTCCATCCTCGGTAAAAACTGGAGCACCTGGCTGTAGCGCAAGCGAGCCAAACAGTACCACATCTGGGTCGAGGTAAACACCACGTACCATCTCCAACGAGGGACCAAAAGTGTAGAGCGTGTCCATAAACTCATCTACATCTCCATGGACATACATGCACTGGCCAAAGTTTACGCCCACCACCGGCTCCAAGTACACGATCATCGGGCCAGTGCCGTAAGTGGTACGCTCACTGATCTTATACTCGTAGAAAGCATCCTCCTCCAGGAACTTGACCATGATCTTCATCTCATCTCGCAGCTCTTCCACACACTTGGCAACTGTGATACACAATCCTTCCGGATCGATCAGCGTCGCAAAGCCCGTGGCAGTGTTGGGATCAAGCGTCCGATCACGAAGACGTTTACTGGAGATGATGTGCACAGAGCACACAAACTTCTTCATCTCCTTCTCCAGTGTGCTCGACTTTCTCATTTTCGCCCTGTAGCCGTATATCCCTTCCCTCAATTCATCCAAGAAAACTTCTGTTCTCGCTCTCTTCAAATTCCACACCCGCGTTACCTCAAACATGTGTTCTTCGGCCTCGTCGAACGCCTTGCCAAGCGGGGTCTCCGCAAACGCTGCAGCTGCTTCCTCTTCTTCCTCTCTCCGAGACAGCGGCTGCTTTCTCCCATTGATCTGGAGAGGATTCTCTTGCGATCCATCACCCAGACCACACGATCGAGCGAAACCAATTATCTGCTCGAACGTCATACGTGATTTCCCATAAGAATCCTGGATGAGAGCTAAGCTACCCACAGCGAGACTCTCTGGAGCTAACCCATAGTGCCTGGCTACATCTGCTACCAGGAAAAACCCACCCTCTAGCGGCACTAGACGTAAATCATCGCCTCTCTTGACCCATATGCATTCCATCCCAAGAACCCTAAAAAGCACATTATGATTGGGGTGGCGGGGTGGCACCATGAAGAGTTCCATTGAGATCGGTCTTTCCCTGCGAGCTTGGCCTTGTTTTCGATCACTCGCTGCTGGTCTCACCAGAGGATGAGTTCTTTTTCTGGTGCGTAAGAACTATACCAGGAGAAGTGGGAGATTTCTTCCACTCCAGATCTTCTTTAGAGGATGCGATCCGCCAGCGATGGCAGCCGCCGAAAGAAGTTGATCGGCGCCGCCGGCAGCGGGTCCCTGAACCTCGGGTGCCTCATCGCGTACAGCCCCGCCACGACCACGATCACCCGGATGGGCACCACGTACAGCACCACCGCCACAACCAGCGAAAACGTGACAAAGATCGCCGTCGCCCTGGGATCCCTCCAGCTCAGGAGCGCCCCGACCCTCTCCCCCTGCGTCGCCAGATCGCCCAACACATTCTGGATCCTGGCCGCCACGATCCTCACGCGATCATACCTCGCCCGGATCACATTCGGGTCCTTGGCGCTCGGGATGGGATCAAACTCCTCGTCCAGCTCGTCCGGCTCCACGACCTCCGCCTGGGACAGCCGCGCCTCCATGGATGGCGGCGATCGCGGCCGGGATCGGTACTGCCACAGCCCGATCAAGAACATGTAGAGGAAGAGCGTGGGGAGGATGAGCTCCGGGTACCACACCAGGATGAGGAACAAGATATGGACGAGTACGGTCGTGACCGGGTTGCGCCAGTGGCAAATGTTCTCCATCCAGCGTACGACCGCCATTGGCCCATTCAGCACGCTCATGAGGCGGAAGTAGTTGACCTTGCTGCGACGAAGCGACCAAACGTTGACGTCCGTATCGAGCATGTACTGTACGACCTCCTGGCGGAGGGGCGGCTCGGATCGCGCCAGGCGGATGGCCACGATGCGCATGGCGGATATTCGCAGGATCTCCGCCTGGGTGACGCCCAATGGGTGGAGGTAGTGCATTCGCGGCAGCAGCGGCTGGAAGTAGAGCTGGAGCATGGAGAGTACGGACGCGGAGGTGAAGCGTACGGCGAGCTCCACCTCGCCCAGCTTCTTTACGCCCGACTGCTGGAGCGAGAGTAGCGGGTAGCGGTTCGTGTAGACGCGGTCGCTCTCCAGGGTGGATAGCCGGATCCTCACCTTGCCGATCCGGGCGTCGCGGTTGGCCTGGTTGGATTGGATTGAATTGGATGGATCGCCCACAATCACAGCAACAAGAAAAACGTTAGAAAAGCTCGCAAAGTTTTGATCGATATAGCTAAAGAGATCAAAGAAAGCAATGAGAGATTGTGGAGCTATAAAGAGATCAAAGAGAGAATGTGGAGATATATGAAACGATGAGAGATTGTGGAGATATAGCTAAAGATCTCGATCAAAGAGATCAAAGGAAGCAATCAAAGATTGTGGATCAGCAAAGAGAGATCTTCGTAAAGAGAAAGAGATCAAGGGAAGCAAAGAGAGATCATAGAAACTGGCAGTGAAGACTAAACGATCATATAGGAGGCCAGAGAGAGTTCTTACGTTTTGGTGATGGTGGTGATCGTGGTGGCCATGATCCACGAGCTGGGCGTTGTCAAACACGCCGATGGTAAGCACCGTACAGGGGTCGTGCACGTCCCACCGGTACTGCTCGTTCCACCGGGGGTTGAGGCTGTCCATGACCGTACGAGTCCGTACCCACTTCGAGCCGTACTTGGCCACCACGTACGCGTCCGTACTCCCCCGCCCCTCCTTGTTCTTCATGGGCAGCACGTCCTTGCCGCGGATGATCCCCAGCTCCAGCATCCCCACCCCGGCCTTCCACAGCTGCCTCGCGGTTGGATTCGCGCAGCTCAGGTGATTCACCGGCTCGTCCAGGACGTGGTAGCCGCCATCCAAGCACACCCGGAGATGCAATCGCCCATGGAAGCTATGCTTCTTCTGCTCGTCTTCGCTACCATCGCCGCCACCACTATGCTTCTCGAGGTTGTACCAGCGGGAGCTCACTTGGCGGTGGTCGATCCGGCGCTCCACGCCGGAGAGCGCGATCCGGACGAGCCCCAGCAGCGCGTGCTCCTCCTTCTCGCCGCCGCTCTTGCGCTCCTCCACTCGCAGCACCAGATCGTCCTCGAATGGCTCCGCGGCGACGAAGAGGAGGTCCTCGTTCCAGAACGGGCTGGTTGTACGGTTGCTGGCTACCCGAGTCCGCTGGACCTGGAAGCCGAGGTGAGCTCGGACTGTCACCTCGGGCTGGAAGCGCTCCAGGTGGACTTCCTGGGCCTCGATCACGTTCACGCGGAGGTACCACAGCTTGGGCGAGAGGTAGACTTTGGATCGAGTGTGCGCGTATCCGCCAGAGTCCGATTGCCACGCCTCGGTGAACGCCTCGTCCGCCTGGGTGCCCAGCCACACCGCCAGCATTATATCACCTCGGACTGTTCTTGGCGAGCTCTGGCTATGGTGGCTCTTTCGCTCCAGGCGGTACCACTGCGGCGCTAGCGGGCTGTCCGGCGGGACGCGCACTGGGATCTCGGCAAACTCGAAGACGACGCTGCCCAGGAAGCTGGAATCCGGATCGCGGTCGTCGGACACCGCGATCTCCAGCGCTGGGCCGCCCATCCTCTCCTTGCCAAACGCGAACACCTCGTTCCACTCGGGGTAGAGCGTGCTGGGCACGGATCTGGTGCGCGCGGTGTGCGATCCCAGCGAGATCTTGGCGAAGGGATCGATGGCGGCATCCTTGGATGCCAGTGCGCGCGCCTTGACGACGCGGACAAAGAGGTACTGCATCCTCTCCACCAGATCGAAGGTGACCACCTTGTCGCCGATCGCCTTGGTGGCGATCATGGGTTTGGTCTCCTTGAGGATGAACTCGCCGGCGGGGACGATCGTGGGTGGCGATGGCCGCGGCGGTGGCCGGACAAACTCCGCCGCCCTGGAGGCGATCTTCGTGTTTTCTCCATCGCCACTGCCACCACCGCCGCCGCCATTGCCATGCTTCTCTTCTTCTTCTTTCTTTGCTTCCACGGTGGTGGTAGCGGCGCCGCTAGCTTCTTCTTCCACTTCTTTCTTTGGTGGGTCGTCTTCTTTCTTCTCTCCATCGCCGCCGCCGCCACTGCCGCCATCCTCTTTCTTCTCCTCCTCTTCTTTCTTTTCTTCTTCCTTCTTCTCTTCCACTTCCTTCTTCTCCACATTCCCTCCATCGCCATCTCCTCCATCTTTCTCCTCCTTCTCGGGATCGCTGCTCGCGGCGGCGGCTGTTTCTTCCGTTTTCTTCTCGCCTTCTTCGCTCTTGGCATCGCCCTCTTCCACTTTCTTCTCGCCATCGCCATCGGCGGGAGGAGGAGCTGGTTCCTCGTCGCTCCACCACATCTTGATTCCAATCTCGCCTTTGACGTGAGAGAAGAAGCTCCTCTTCGCCAAGGGATAGTAGACGATGGATTCCTCGCCTTTCTTGGCGGCGCTCTTGGCTGGGATCCTCACGCGGCCCAGGAACTGTGGTCGCTGCTTGCCGCCGGTCTTCTTGTCACTCAGCACCGTGATCTCGATCTCCTTGTCGTCGATCGGGCCCTGGATCGCGAATTCCAGCACCGTGTTCCAGGTGGGCTTGAGATCCTTGCTCTTGGGCTCTGTTCGCCGGCGCTGGCCATCGAATTCCAGCACGCAGTAGGGGCTCGCGGATCCCTCCCCGTCCTTCGGCATTAGATCTGTGGCATTGCATACCTCCACGAAGAGCTTCTTGGCGGCGTCCATGGATTGATCGATTGGATGCGTAGCGTTCTTCGTCTTTCCTCCTCTTTATCTCTCAGTGGATCTCGCGGCGAATGCCGGTGATAGGCATTTGGATCTGGGGGGAATTCCTGGCGAATCGATGGGAATGTCTGGAATTGGTGCTCGGCTGTTGCAACTACTCCACCGCGATTCGTAATGGGCGATCTAAATCCAGGGAAGAACAGAGCTTTCTCGCGTGTTCCATCCTAATTGCGGCAAGAGTCCAGGAGAAAGGAGAGAATGAATCAATCCAAGACAAACCGGCAATGTGGGTCGTGGAATTCCTCCGCGATCCAAGCGCCCATCGATCAATCATCCATCCACAAAGCTCCGCCCTCAGATCGATCAATTGATTTAACTTATCTCCTAGATCCTCCAATCTTTCCCAGCGGCGGAAAGGATTGGAATCTCGAGATTGGTAGGCGAAAAAAGTACCCACTCTGGGCCTCGCTTTTGAGCTCTCCACGGTCGGAAAGAAAACGCTTTCGTTGAAAAAGAGCTCCATCGCGCGCCAGAGATCTAACGGCTCTAATTTTGCCACGTGGCGGAGAGCTCATCGTACGGCCGGGGACTTGTCCAGCTGTCAGGATGAACGGTGGGTGGCGGCGCTTGATCCCGAGCATATGCTGTCCTTGATTCTTGCATGATCCCACACAAACAACATTTTGATTGATCTCGTGATCTCAATTTCTTGTTTGTAATTGTTTTCTTTTTTAAAATCCATCACATGTGCACATATGTTTTTATTAAAGTTTTTGAAACAAAAATAAATGTACGCCCACCTGAACTTGTTTGGATCCGAACGTTCAAATCGAGCTAAAATACCACGTACATTCCATTGCCATTTGCCAACTTGTTTGATACTTGCCGGCCACTGGCAATGGCAACACGATGATCACATACATTGGCGTATGCCAGTTAGTACCTGTAAAGGTATTTCCAAACGTATACTTGGGTGTTTTCCTTGGTTGATAGCCTGAATGTCCTGCTGTACACAAACAATCTCCAGGCCGCATATTGACACTCAAATTAAAAAAACCAAACAATGAAAAGCGATTGTTGTGTTGTCTTCGAATTTGTCTTTGGATTGCATTTTCGTAATTTGTGTTTTGTTTTCTTCTGGTCATTTTTCAAGCATGGAAATGGACCTTGATTGATTTGATTTGAGCTTTTGGTTCTTTGTTATTGTTTAAAAGGTCCCTTCTTCATCCCCACAAAACTACGCTTTTTAGTAGGTAAAAAGAGAAAGTAAAGGTCCTGTGGGATTTGATTTGAGGTTTTGGTGCTTTGTTATCGTCTAAAAGGTCCCTTTTTCATCCCCACAAAAACTATGCTTAGGTAAAAAGAGAAAGTGAAGTTCCTGTGGGAAAGAGAAATGTTGGTGTTTTTTTCTGCTCGTTTTTTTTGGTGTCATTGTTGACAGTGATAAGTTCTGTGCGCGAAAGTGGGCCACTATCAAAATGAGGGCCAGCTTCTATGTGACGTGTCAACTGACTCGGCTCCACGTTGACACAAACACAAAGGTTGAGTCCGACCTGCCGGAATCGAACCAGCGACCAAAGGATTGCTGAGCAACTACAGTCCTCCGCTCTACCAACTGAGCTAAGGTCGGTTTCATGATAATCCCATATTTTTTTGCTTACATAGAAAAAAAAGAACATACGACTAACAATTCTTTCTATTTAACAATTCTATGAGAACGAAAAAAAGAATTTGCTGACGACGAATTTGGAGATGGAGCCGAGTCACTTAACACGTCAGCAAATGTACATTAAATGTATTTTTTTCATCTATATACAGCAAGTATTCCTTTTTTCGTTATTATCAAGCAGGGCTTCCTTATCTATTTTCATGGGCTGGTTCCCTCCGAGACCTTGGCCGTGGGCGCCGCCCCCACGTCGGCATGGTTACCAGGCACGAGCACCGGATCATACTGCTGGACCACCAACACCGACGCCTTAACCACGGCCTGCTGTTGCCTGTCGCGGTGATGGTGGCGATCGTCCACGTCTTCATTCGCGACTGCCAGCGCATCGCCAACTGGGCCCAGCTCCGCATACGTGGCCTGCCGCCGCGACAGTGACGCCATCCCCGCGATGGGCCGGCGACCTCTCCCCACGATCAGGAGCCCGTGCTCGTTCTTCCTGGCCACGCCCATCACCGCGTGGATGGGATCGCCGTCCACGTTCACTTCCTCCAAAAAGATCCAACGCTCCTCCTTGTCCTTCTGTTCTTCTAGGACTTCCCTGAGCCCCGCCAATGCCTGTTCGTCGAGAGCGCTCTCCTCCTTGGCGATGGTTCCTGGCGCGATATGGTAGCTCGTGTCGACCGAGGTAAGCCTTGGAATCATGGACGCAAAGTCGGATGAACGCCTGCCGCTGTGACCAAGGTGGTGCTGATCGTGGAGGCCACTGCCGGCAGCGTCGATCGAGACGACGTGCTGCTGCTGCTGCTGTTCTTGCTGCTGGTGCTGCTGATGATCGACCATGAACTTCACCACCGAGAGCTTGATCCCCGGATGCTCGGCCATTCGCATTCCCACAGCTAGAGCCTCCCGGTCATCTGGACCGCCGAAGAAGAACACCGCAACGCTGTGGTTGACGTTCATGGAGGAGATCTGGTGTGCGGAAGCTCCTCGGTCTATGAGGATCCCCACCGAGCACGGCGCGTGGACGAGAACACGCTGGTTCACTGTCTGGAAGCCCGGGTGCATGGTTTCGAGGAGGCCATCGGCTCGAGCGTACTTGTGGAACGGGAGGATGATGACCGCTGCTCGCTTGTTGGCCGCGGTGGTGCAGATGTCGTCGTGCATGTCTGGAAGTGCCGTGATCGCGGTGAGAGACCGCAGCGTCACCTTGTTGAGCTGCGCGAAAGCTCCAAACGCTACCGCGATCCCGTTGACAACCGCGAACGAGGAGCCCCCCGCTCGAGACACCGGGAGGCCGTCTTGCCGGACCCTCTGGACCATCATGATGGCCGACGATCGCTCCGTGAGCTCCACCAGCTGGAGGATGTAGAGCCGGAAGAGCTCCTTCCGGTTGCTGCCCCGGATCGACTCGATCAAGTTCATCACTGTCGGGACGTTCTTCATGCCGTGGACGCAGGCCAGCACCCTGAGCTGCTTGTTTCCTTGCTCGTCGATCGGTGAGAGACGGCTGAGTTTCCTCCGCTTGTACGGTACCTGGTCTCTGGCTGGTTTGTAGAGTGCCATCACCACCGGTGTCGTGATGAAAGTCGTGAACAGCGCCATAATCACCATGATCGCAAACATCTCCTCGTTAAGCACCTGTCAAAATCACGCTTTTGTAGTTTAGCCACCTAACGTAGCGTAAACGAGAAAGTGAAATGCGCCTACCTTTCTTTCCTTGCCAATGTTGAGCACGATAAGCTCCACGAGACCTTTCGTGTTCATCAAGAACCCCAGCGTCAACGCCTTGCGAAAGTTCTCCCCATACGCCATTGACACGGCCAGAGTTCCCAGAATCTTCCCGCCACAAGCCGTGACGATGACGAGCACCAAGAGTCCAAACGAGCGGGCTCCGCTGATGCTGCCAATGTCGGTCTGGAGGCCGCTGGCCGCGAAGTAGAGGGGCAGCATCAAAATGTTGACGAAGTCCTCGATCTTCTCGATGAGTGCGTGAGCAAAGTGTCCCTCAGGGATGATAAGCCCAAACACGAAAGCTCCAAAAATGCCGTGTATGCCGATGAAGTCCGTGACGAAGCCGGACACTAACACTCCCCCCAGTGCGATGCAAACGTAGAGCTCCTTGACTGGCTGGTCGGCCGGAGAGCGGCTAGCGATCCAGGCCATCAGTGGCTTGACGAACAAGAACATCGCAAGCACGAACGCCACTCCACAGAGAAGAATCCATGCTGCCACTGCCGGACTCCGTCCCGTCCCGGAGAGTGCCACGGCCAGCGCGAGGAAGATCCATGCAACCACGTCGTTGGCAGCGGCGGCGGCGATCGCCATCTTTCCAACGTCGGTGGTGAGCAGCCTTCTCTCGGCGAGGATGCGTGCCAGGACTGGGAATGCCGTGATGGAGAGCGCCACCCCCATGAAAACCAGGAAGGGGATGAGCTTCGTGTCGGGGTTGACGGTGTTGTGGAGCACGAACGAGACCCCGACTCCCGCCGCGAATGGGAGAGAGATCCCAGCGATGGAGATGGCGGCGGCCTGCTTGCCGGTGCGCTTGAGCGATGCTAGATCGAGCTCCAGGCCGACCATGAACAGGAAGAACATCAGCCCCATGTTTGCAAAGGTGGTGAGGATCGAAAGGCTTTGCTTGGTGAAGATCTTCGCCAAGTAATCGCTGTTTCGCCCCAGTGCTGATGGACCCAGCAGCACACCACCCTGTGAAAAAAAAAATTATGATCAGTCCACTGGCCACCGCTTCTCTCGATTAAACAAATCTCTCTCGGAGCAAAGAAAGAAAGCTTATCATCGAAACAAGCGCTAGCGCTATCTAAAGAACTTACAATAATCTCCGCGATGACCCGAGGTTGCCGCAGTGGCTTGAGAAGGAGGCCAAGAACGCGAGTGACAGTGAGGACGAGGATAATCTGGACAATGAGGAGCGATAGCGAGAACTCGATGGGATTATCGCCCTGCCAGATGCCATGGGAGGTCGTCGACGCGAGCTTGCAGGTGGAATTGGAATTCGCCGCCATAGCTGCCGCCGCCGCCGCTGCTGCTGCTGCTGCTGTGATCCAATACTAGAGGAATGGATCCATGGAAGAGCGATGCGATATCGATCGAGAGCGCGGATATTTTGCAGCGATAGGGCAGCTTATAAAGCAGCGCCGCCCGGCATTCCGGCGATCGACAGCAGCAAAAAAATGGAGAGATCCAAGTCAACTAAGAGATCGCCCGTCCCGACGATCCCATCGTGCGGAGCAAAGGCGCTCGCGAAGAACAACGACTTTGTCCAGACCTAGAAACAAGAAAGCCAAAAAGCAAAGCAAAAAAAAAAAAAATTCCCTCGCGTGGCACATGTCATAACAGGAAACGCATCCGGCTGACTCGGAGGATGGCGACGTGGCCAGCGCCAGGAATGCCACGTGTTTAGGGCAACTTGGCCGTATTTCCAAGAAATTACTGGCCGAAAGTCGCGCCTTATCGTACTCATGCGGTATGCTTGCGCGTATAAAGATTCGTTAGGAAATATTTTTAACAGCACACTTGCTTGAATCATCTAGCTTGATCCTATCCGGTATACGTAGTAAATACGTAAGTATTTCGGAGCTCATTCTTGCAAATTCCTACATTGCTCTCCATAGCACAATATCCTGTCATAGATTAACAGATACATTTGGTTTGACTTTATTCACATTGTCTTCTTTCGCTCTTTTGACATTATCAGAGTTAGCATCACCTTTGTCAACTTTCCCACTTAATAGTTCTCTTGAACTTTCAGTGAACTGTCAACTTTCTCCAAGATCTTATTTCTCCTCTTGCACTTCCAGTACTTTTTTGGCACTATCGACTTTCAGAACCTTTCTCCAAGGTCCTCCTTTTTATGTGAATCGGATCTCGAATTCGTATATTACTCCACATTTTTTTTCCACCGCAGAAGATGAAAAAGACGAAGAAGAAACTGGTTTATGGCCAGCTGCGTGCATGGCTTCCATCAATACGTTGAAAGCGGGAGGATCTTTGAATCTGATCTCGAACTGGTATACTATTCCACATTTTCTACAAATGTTACATGGTTTTCCGTGGGAGAGGACGAAGAAGAAGAAAATGGCTTATGGCCAGCTGCGTACATGGCTTCCAGCAAAACGTTGAAAGCGTGAGGATCCGGGGACAACTTGAGCCTGTCAATCTCCTTGAAGACTTTCATGGCTTCGCTCAATCGCTGCTCGCCGCAGAGCCCAAAGATGAGACTGTTGTAAGTCACCAGATCCGGAGAACACCCGTGATCCTGCTCCATCCTCTCGAAAACCTCCACCGCGTCGTCCAGGCGCTTGGCTTTGGACAAGCCATCGATCATGATGTTGTGAGACACCGTGTCTGGCTTGCATTGCCGCGAGACCATCACCTGGAACAGCTGCTTGGCCTCGCCAGGCTTCCCTGCTCGGAAGAACCCCTTGAGCAGGCAGTTGTAAGCCACCACGTCCGGATCGTGGCCCTTGCTCACCATCTCGTCAAACACCTCCACCGCTTGCTCGATCTTTCCAACGTTGCAGAAGCCGTAGAGCAGCGTCGTGTAAGTCACCCTGTCTGGATCGCAGCCCCGCTCCACCATCTTCCGGAAGAGCTCGTGAGCTTCGTCGGGCTTGGACTCCTTGCACAGGCCGTGGAGAAGGCAGTTGTAAGTCACGGCGTTGGGACGGCAACCCCGGCTGATCATCGTCTCGAACAGCTCGTGGGCTTGGTCGTGTTTCCTGGCCAGGCTGAAGCCGTGGATGAGCGTGCTGTAGGTGATCACGTCCGGCGAGCAGCCAGCCGCGACCATCTCCTCGTAGACCCCCTGAGCGTCAGCGATGCGGCCCTTCCTCATCAGACCATTGAGGAAGGCGTTGTAAGTCGTCACGTTTGGAACGCAGTTGAGGTCGATCATCTGCTTGTAGAGCTTCTCGGCGCGGCCGAGCTCGTCGATCTTGCAGAAGCCATCGATGAGGATGCTGTAGCTCACCACGTCCGGGACGAAGCTCCTCTCGCTCACCATTGTGCTGAAGATGGCGAAAGCCTGGTGGACTTTCTTGGCTTTGCAGAGGCTGTTGAGGAGCGAGTTGTAGGAGAAGCAGCTGCTAGAACGGCTGCTGATCTTCCTGTCCATGCCTTGCAAGAACTCCTGTGCCTCTTGGATCTTGTCCGCCTTGCAAAGCTCGTTGATGAGCATCGAGTGAGTCGCCATGTCCGGGCAGTAGCCACGCTTGATCATCGTTTCCAAGAGGCTCAGAGCGCTGTCCACTCTCCCGGCTTTGCAGAGCTCCTGGATCACGCTGTGACATGTCCCCGAGCTCGGCTGGATGTTCCTTCCTGCTATCTCTAGGCAAGCCTCTTCGGCCTTGTCGATACGGCCGCTCTCGATCAGCAGCCGGATGAGCATGTCGTAGACGGGCTGCGATGAGCTCAAGCTCTCTTGCATCGTCCGACATGCCTCGAAAGCTTGCTCGATCTTTCCCGACTTGCAAAGGCCGCTGAGGAAAGCAGTCCAGGCAACGTTGTTGAGGGGAGCTTTCGACTCCACCGCCATCTCGAGAAAGAGCTTGAAGGCCTCGTCGAGATTCTCCAGCTTGCAGTGAGCCAGCACCATGTAGCTATAGATCGTCGCGTCGGGCTTACACCCGCTCTTCACCATGGCTCTAAACAGCTTTGAAGCCTCGATAGCTTTGTCCTGGATCACAAAGTTGACGAGCAATGCCTTCTTGAGCATCATCTCCACCGCAACTCGCTTCTCCAAATCTCTTCCAAAAACTCTGGAAAATTCTCCCTCTTTCCCCGTGGCTTTGAGACACTCGGTAACCTTCTGGTAGAGCGTGGAGCTCGGCTTGAACCCCTTGTCCACCATCTCACCGAAAAACCTCACGGCTTCGTCGGAGTTCCTCTCGTAGCACGACGATTGCACGAGAACAGCGTACGTGAATCCATTCGGAACCACGCCCTGCGCGACCATCTTCTCGAAAACCTGGCCGGCTTGCTTCAAATCGCGGTGCCGGATGAGCTTATCCAGCAGGCAATTGTAGGTGAAGACGTCGTGCTTGAAGTTCCTGGCCTGGAGCCACCTGAAGAAGGTAAGCGCCTCTCCTCCATCCCTCAAATGCTTAATCACGGCTCCCACGGTCTCCCTGCAGCTAGATTTCCCATCCCATTTCTTCACCACGACCTCCAGTTCCAAGAATCCGCGCTGCTGCTGCTCCTGCTGCTGCTTCTTCTGGGAAGAATAGATTGCCCCATTGCGGCTGAATCCGCCCAGGCGCGAGCTCCTACCGGGAATTTGGATACGAACCTCGGACTTCTTGGATGCTCCATCGCCGTCACTATTGTCGATCAAAGAGGAAGCCGCACGGCCTCGGACCCTCCTGCAGGAGCTGCAAGCGCCGGAACTCCTGAATCCCTCGGCGGCATTGGGTCGCATCGCTAACAGAGTGATGATTTTAATGACTGATGGATATACTTAGAATTTGTTTGGATATTCTAGCATATTTTATGATCTAACGGTTGATATTCTTTTAGATTACTTTTGAGTTTAAAAATTATAAACATGTTTATATAATTTATAAACGGCTTAAATTTACTTTTTGGTTTAAGTGAATATATAGAATATGATTGAATTTTTTGAAATATTTTACCATCTAACAGTTGTTATGCATTTAGATTTATTTTGTATTTATAATTTTAAAACTTCCTCTTCTAGTTTATTCCACCACTTAATTTGTAATATGCAATAAAATTAATGTTCTAATTATAAATTATAGACATTCTACCTAATCATGATAAGGCACATTTTGTGCTAAAATATATAATAGTAAAGTTGAATTATAAATACTCATAATATAGTTATTATAAGGCACATTTTTTGCTAAAATATATAATAGTAAAGTTAAATTATAAATACTCATAATATAGTTATTATAAGGAACCTTTTTGGTTATTTGGAGAGATATAGATACAATAAAAAATCATTAGTTGGAACTCTCACTAAATTTTCTTCCAGTATATGATCATTAAAGAAAAATATGATTTATCTTTATAACATAAATATGTGACTAATTTGGCTTAATATCAACATGTGAGGTCCAAGTGTATCTACCGATACGTGGAAGAAAACCATCTTGCCTACTTCAAAGTGGTCGAAAGAGGATGACGGTAGTGAAGAGGAGGATAGAAATGATGGAAGGGTGGGGTATTCATCTAGAGACGAAGTGTTTGAGAGGGGCTATGATGCCATATACTAATACTAGTATAGTGAGATTTTGGTTGGAATTTGGACCATTTGCTCTTGTATATAAACTATGGTTTTTGGGCTAAATGATATATATAATTTTATATTCTCTTTCTATATTCCATGCACTCATGTTAGTGAAAATGAAGGGCAACTTTAATTGTCCCTAAGGAGTGTTAAGATTTGGGATTTTGGTTTAAATCTAACTTTTGCATTGTTTAGATTTCCCTTTTTTTATAATTTTTCTCAACTTCTTATCTTTTGCTTTTTCCTTTTTATTCATTTTCATGGCAAAGCAACAACCTCCTCCTCCTCTAACTTTGGAGTAGTAGTTGATGCAATTGCTTGATGCTATGTGATTGCAATTGAACAATCAAACTCAATTGATGGTAACATTCACGGCATATGGTATAATTCCTCTTGCTCTTATTGTTGTTTCTTGCGTCCAACCAGAGTTCTTTTGTGGGAATTCTAAGGATGATGTGTACCATTAGTTGGATCACTTTACGATGATTACCATATATCATTCTTAGGATGATGCTCGGTGTTTACATGAGTTTCCCATGTGTCTCTAGGGATGGCCCTACAATGGTTTGAGTGCAGTCATTCGTGAGGATTGGAGCATTCTCCTAAACGTCTTCAAACACTTATTTGGACATCCTAACAATTATGATGATGCCTTTCAACAATTGCATCATCTTCATCCAAGGCCATTTGAGTCCATGATACAATTTGGCATTTGTTTTCAAAGCCTTTTATTTTGTGTAGAGCCAAATATATCAGAGAAGATTAAGTTAGGAATGTTGTGGCTAGCACTTCATCAAAATCTTGTAGGACTTGTGCATGCACTTGCTTCAACCACCTTTGATGATGCTCTTTGTTTGGCATAACATTATAAAATATTACCTTTTCCACTTTTCACTGCACATCCTTTATCTCTATTTCCTGTGGAAGATGGTCCTATTCCAATAGAGGTTGATGTTGCTGCTGCCCAAGTTTAAAGACAAAGGTGAGGATGT